CACTTTGACAACCTTACAGTACAACAACACTTTGACAACCTTACAGTACAACAACACTTTGACAACCTAACAGTACAACATCACTTTGACAACCTATCAGTAATACATCACTGTGACAACCTAACAGTACAACGACACTTGATGACCTAACAGTACAACATCAATATGACAACCCAGCAGTACAAAAACACTTTGACAACCTAACAGTACAACATCACTTTGACAACCTTACAGTACAACATCATTTTGACAACCTTACAGTGCAACATCACTTGATGACCTAACAGAACAACATCACTTTGACAACCTAATGGAACACATCACTTTGACAACCTTACAGTACAACATCACTTTGACAACCTTACAGTACAAAAACACTTTGAGAACCTAACAGTACAACAGCAATATGACAACCCAGCAGTACAAAAACACTTTGAGAACCTAACAGTACAACAGCAATATGACAACCCAGCAGTACAAAAGCACTTTTACAACCTAACAGTACAACGTCAATATGACAACCTTATAGTACAAAAACACTTTGAGAACCTAACAGTACAACAGCAATATGACAACCCAGCAGTACAAAAACAATTTGACAACCTAACAGTGCAACAACACTTTGACAACCTAACAGGACAACATCAATATGACAACCCAGCAGTACAAAATCACTTTGACAACCTAATAGAACCCATCACTTTGACAACCTCACAGTGCAACAACACTTTGACATCCTAATAGAACACATCACTCTGACAACCTTACAGTGCAAAAACACTTTGACAACCTAATAGAACCCATCACTTTGACAACCTTACAGTGCAACAACACTTTGACAACCTAACAGTACAACAACACTTTGACAACCTAATAGAACACATCACTTTGACAACCTTACAGTACAACATCACTTTGACAACCTTACAGTACAACATCATTCATAGCAGATCAATATCACCAAACAAGGAACTTTTTAATCATGTGGTAAAAGTAAACACAATCGTGTTTATTTTTCAAGGAATCCAACTTAAGCTGTAATACATTTAGCACTAGACATTCTAAGAACAGGGAGTATTAAGTTTGCCTCCAACAAAATTTGATAATGATACCATGATGCTGCTTCATGTATTTTGTAATTTGCAGAAATTTGCTGCAAACATAAAATGAGTGTGGATTGTATCTCATTATTACTTCATTTACCTCACAGATCTTTTCTTCTGTTATTGCTTTAGGATCTTTGGATCTTAAAAAGAAAGAAGAAAAATAAAAAAGACATTATTTCTTATTATCAGGCTAACATTTCTCAAATTTGATTTCGTAGAGATATTTTGAAAATCAATCAATTATTCACAGCAGTAATTTATGATCCGCTTGTCTCTTCAATTTGTTTTTATCTATTTGAATTATTTCCTGTACACACAGAGTTTTTGTCACGCATTGTCGCGAGCATGCCATAAGCGGTTCCCTAACAGACTGTGATACCTCCTATAGCCTCCTCCAGATCACTACATGTTATGTATGGCTGAGCTGAATGTCTCCCGACATTAGCCCATCACAAACACCGGTCGTCTACGATTATCTACTATATCATCAGCGTTTAACTACAGCTTGAGAGCAGTTCTACAATTTACACAGCCATACATCACTTCCAAACGAGGCCAAGGGACAAGAGAGATAACTCTACTTACAGGTCCACATTCACAGTATTGATCATATTGGTCCATTGTCTCTCCAGCAGTGGCAGTTGCTGTAATAGAAACACAAGCCATTATAAACCACTCAGTTTTCTGAAACTACAATGTAAAGTGTCAGGAAGAAACACATAAAATATTCACTTATTAGCATAAACAGAAATTATGATATTAAAGAGCTTTTAATTTTTACAAGAATCTTTTTGCTAATTATTTCACTTTCGATTGCACTTTGTTTACACAAAATAGCACGTTCCCATTGGAATGTCTAGAATTCCTTCATCAAGGCATGACAACGGTAACTGCTGAAAACTGGATGATCAGACTAATACAGAGGCTGATTAAATTTCAGCTGTGAAGTAATCGCAATGTGTCACTGTTTCTGATTCAGAAGTCTAGACCTCTCATTACAGCAAATCAAAAATGTGAAATTATGAAAAGCTATCTTAGGAACAGTCAGTCAGCTCTGTGCCTACTCATTACTTGTGAATTTTAAGATTGAAATCAGAAAGGTTTTGACAGCAACACAGCATTACATTCTTTCCACAATTATGGGATGGACAAGGTACAGGTATGGGAGCTGGCGACTGACCTAGCTTTGGGACACTGACCTCTGTGATGGTGTTCTCTAGTGACACTGGGTCTATCTGTGCGTACAGGGACTGTAGGTCCTCACTAACATCCACCACCTGTAGTATAGTATAGACACACTATAAACAAGTCTGTCATATCCTCTCTGCTGAACTCTAACAAAACCTTATTATACTATCATGAGGTATGTCCTAATATTTCACAAAAGCTTTATTATTTATAAAACATCAAAACAGTCATAAATACAAACACCGCAAAAATAGCTATAAAGGAGTTTTTAAAAACGGCATAGTATACCTAGCTAGTTAATAACTATCAAAGAGTTGTGAAGGTGTTTTTTTTCAAAATTGTTATTCTGACGCATAATGATTCCTCATATTCCTATGAAGACGTTAATGAACAGAAAAAGTCAATGTTAACATATTTGTCCTTTATGAGCTTTGAATTAAAATATGACCTAAAAGACTATCCTCTTAAAGGATATGACTTCAAAAATCAAGCCTCATTCCCTCTTATGCCAATTTTTTCTCAAATTCCCAATCTGGTAAAAAAAGGTGAGCATTCTAACAATACACAAACATGGTGGTATCACTTCTACATAGTAGCAATGAATTATAACCACATGGACTATAATCTCAACTCACACAGATTAGTGCATGTTATAATTTTAGCTCACATGGACGAGGTAAAATATGTTATGTTTTTAAGAGATTCGAAAACAGCACTGTCTGTCTTAGTTCAGGACATCACAACAGTTAACAAACTAATTGTTTATTCTATTTTGGGCATAGGAAGCAAGTGTTCTATAAAATTGTATTACCTCATGTGACAGGGTGAAAAATCCTTTCCTGAAAAAGAATAAAAACTTAAATCATTTTTACCCAGAAATTATCTCACAACTCTACTTTTACTTCATCTCTGAATCAGTCATAACAAATCATTCAACAAAACGGAAAAAGAGGAATGAGAATGTCAATGTGTTCATCACAAACCCTACCTAGCCAATGGATGGCTTCACCATAACAACAACTGCCCTAATACACTACTGTAAATCCCTCTATTTTCAAGGGAGATAATGTTTTTGTGAATAAAAATCTTCTGCGAATATATTATATCCAGTGTTGAAAAAGTATCTTCCCAAAGGTAAATTCAAATATACATTAATACTACTGACAGACATTAAGATCATGAAGTTAAGTGTAATTGAACATTATAAGTTATTGCAGTATATAACAATGGCTGTCTTTGAAATGATTCTGCCAATGGTGGACAGATTGTCATAGAATAGCCAGAACACCAGGGACTAATTAGTCATAGAATGGCCAGAACACCAGGGACTAATTAGTCATAGAATAGCCAGAACACCAGGGACTAATTAGTCATAGAATGGCCAGAACACCAGGGACTAATTAGTCATAGAATAGCCAGAACACCAGGGACTAATTAGTCATAGAATGGCCAGAACACCAGGGACTAATTAGTCATAGAATAGCCAGAACACCAGGGACTAATTAGTCATAGAATGGCCAGAACACCAGGGACTAATTAGTCATAGAATAGCCAGAACACCAGGGACTAATTAGTCATAGAATGGCCAGAACACCAGGGACTAATTAGTCATAGAATAGCCAGAACACCAGGGACTAATTAGTCATAGAATGGCCAGAACACCAGGGACTAATTAGCCGTATAACCTTGACTGAAGTAAACAGGGAGTTGAACTATGACAAGTGTGTGTTGGTTCAAATGTGGTGATTTTTGAAAATAAGCTTAGTTTACAGTCATCAAATATATCCAACAACAAAAATTCCCAACAAACAGCAATGCCATTAGGTTAACAGTGTCTTACCCTCCGAAGTCCTCCAAAGCATAGGCCTGCACAATGGGCCATTTCTCCACTAACATCTTGTCAAACCTTTGTGGCTGTCCTGGAACACCACATAGAGTACGAACATCGTTACAATTCTAAGCCAATTTACATAGTAATTCCTAATCCACATCATATACAAAAATAATGATACACTATATATATATATATAGCTGTTAACACTTGTATTTCGCTGTACTCATATTCACTCATATTTCACTGTAACTGTAAACTCACAATACTGGCAATTAGTACTGTATTGAAAATATGCATGGTATCCAAAGTATTCACATGAGAGAGATTTCAGAAGAAATTATTCACTTCTAGCAATTTAAATAAAATGTGTGACCATGACAGTTCACATTTCTCTTATAAATATTACTTGAAAGGAATAAAGAACCATTTATTTCAAGATACTGGTTGCAATTTTTTTTGACATTGATGTGAACAATAGGACGGGAAAGGATTACATCCTTATCCAATGATCTCACATAGATAGAGGTGATGATGAAACTAACCTGCAATACTGAATGGTATTCCAACTATCTTGCTGTCAGCCACCATTTCTATAAATGACTGGATTTTAAAGTTACCAGACTCTTCTTCATCTTCATACTGTACATTATACAAAGTAATATATAGAGTTATTGTATATAAGCCATCTCAAAAACACCAAGGTGACCTATTATTTCATTAAAAGGAAGCATCTTTTTCGAAATACAGTGCAACCACTGATAACAAATTATCATTAATTAGTTAAACTGGTGAAACCACTGATAACAAATTAACATTAGTTAAACTGGTGAAAACACTGATAACAAATTATCATTAATTAGTTAAACTGGTGAAACCACTGATAACATATTTACATTAGTTAAACTGGTGAAACCACTGGTAACATATTAACATTAGTTAAACTGGTGAAACCACTGATAACAAATTATCATTAGTTAAACTGGTGAAACCACTGATACATATTAACATTAGTTAAACTGGTGAAACCACTGGTAACATAATAACATTAGTTAAACTGGTGAAACCACTGATAACATATTAACATTAGTTAAACTGGTGAAACCAGTGATAACAAATTATCATTAGTTAAACTGGTGAAACCACTGATAACATATTAACATTAGTTAAACTGGTGAAACCACTGGTAACACATTAACATTAGTTAAACCGGTGAAACCACTGATAACATATTAACATTAGTTAAACTGGTGAAACCACTGATAACATATTAATATTAATTAAACTGGTGAAACCACTGATAACATATTAAAATTAGTTAAACTGGTGAAACCACTGGTAACACATTAACATTAGTTAAACCGGTGAAACCACTGATAACATATCAACATTAGTTAAACTGGTGAAACCACTGGTAACCTATTCACATTAGTTACACTGGTGAAACCACTGGTAACATATTAACATTAGTTAAAGTGGTGAAACCACTGGTAACATATTAACATTAGTTAAACTGGTGAAACCACTGATAACATAGTAATATTAGTTAAACTGGTGAAACCACTGATACCATATTAACATTAGTTAAACTGGTGAAACCAGTGATAACAAATTATCATTAGTTAAACTGGTCAAACCACTGATAACATATTAACATTAGTTAATCTGGTGAAACCACTGGTAACACATTAACATTAGTTAAACCGGTGAAACCACTGATAACATATCAACATTAGTTAAACTGGTGAAACCACTGGTAACCTATTCACATTAGTTACACTGGTGAAACCACTGGTAACATATTAACATGAGGTAAACTGGTGAAACCACTGATAACATATTAACATTAGTTAAACTGGTAAAAACCACTGATAACAAATTAACATTAGTTAAACTGGTGAAACCACTGATAACATATTAACATTAGTTAAACTGGTGAAACCACTCATAACATATTAATATTAGTTAAACTGGTGAAACCACTGATAACATATTAATACTAGTTAAACTGGTGAAACCACTCATAACATATTAACATTAGTTAAACTGGTGAAACCACTCATAACATATTAACATTAGTCAACACAGTAAGAAACAATCAGGACTTTTTATGTTTATGTTTCATTGTTAATTTGTAAAATATTACGTTGACAACCTAACAGTAACACATCACTTTGACAACTTCTAAATTATCAGCTTCAATCAAATTTCAGCACAGATCTTTTTACATGTCAATCATGCTTGCTGCACATGTGCTTCCCCTATTACTACAGACCAAATAGACACCAACACAAGTGTATACTTGCCTGTTTCTCTGTGACACAGTGGAAGCGGACATTTCTCCAGTGACTGACATAGGGAAGAAGGTAATGGTAGTTGATGGGGTTACAGTAAATATCTACTTCATACTGTCTGATTACAAATACCACATCTGTAAAACAAATCACGAAGAAAACTCAAATCCACATTGTACACAAAAATAAGGATTTTAATGAATTAATAGAAGTTACGAAATTACAAGACTATGACAACTAACATTATTATACCTCTACTTTATTTACTCTATATAAAAGTAATTGGTTAAATCGAATATATCCCCACTTTTGCCTGACTGTATTTTAGTCCTGTGTGTTAGTCTGGGAACTAAAACACACCTACACTCGGGGGTTTCCGCCGTGCCAATCAGGCGAGAGGTGGGCGGAGCTTGTTACCGAAAACGGAACCGACGTGCGAGGTGGGCGGAGCTTGCTACCGAACTTTGAAGCATTTTTGGCTCTATTGTGATCTACAGCTTATGGTTTACAAATAATTTCTAGTTAAAACTATCTCTCCAGTGTGTATATATCAGTATAATAAAACGGTTAAAGTATGGGGTTGAGGGATGTTAGCTTCGCCTCGGGAAATAGACCTGGTCTCGGGACACCAGAAACTTGCTATATCCCTCAACCCCATACTTTAACTGTATACTAAAACATAGCATGTCTACAAGGATTAAGTGTTAGCACTAAAACCTGATATTGTTTACAAGAACAACTAAGACTAAAACACAACTAATTTTATACAAAGTCAGTTGTTTGTTTGTGTTTTACGTCCTATTACAGCTATGGTCATTTAAGGACGTGCCAGGTTTTGGTGGTGGAGGAAAGCCGGAGTTCCTGGAGAAAAACCACTGACCTACAACCAGTACCTGGCAACTGCCCCACATAGGCCTCGAACCTGCAACCCAGTGGTGGAGGGCTAGTGGTAGCAGAATGTTGGACACCTTAACCACTTTGCCACCGCGGCCCCATGCCACCAAGTCAGTTGCAGGGATGACATATATACAAATACAGTAATGGTGCAGAACATCATTATAACACTTTAACTAATTCACAGAGGCCATTATTACTTACCGTCTATGACTTCCTCCTCAAAACCAGATCTGAAAAACGACATTCATCCAATATAACATTTAACTTTATATTTCAATTGGGAAGTTAAAATTTAACATGAATTTTTCACTCCTAATTTGAATTAGAATAAGAAATGCAAAAGAAAACTTTTATTTTCCGTATGATATGTCCAGTAAAGGCTAGCAATGTGACATCATAAGGTAAGCAAATATGTACTGGCTATTTAGTTTGGCATTAATTACACTATATACATATGTATATACTTTTGGTTGACTCACCGGTACACAACTATTTGTCAAAATCAATCTGCCAATATATTCTATATTTCCCTTCTGTCCATGAATGTTAAACACAGTATGTGACTTATCACTTGCAGCAAGCATCAGGATATCATTTATAGGATTTCATATTTTTGCAGATCAGGTATTTTATACGAGTGTGTATGGTTCTCTACAGTTCAATAGTGTTTACATGGTATTATATATTATAACTTGTATCGTTAGAGATTCTCGCATATCCAGATATCCATGAGCTGGACTTTTGATGAAGAACAGTTCTCCCCAATACAGAGGCAATCATTGCTTGATTCACCCCTTTATAAATGATTTGTAAATGGTAGTCACCATCAAGTTCTCTGTATTGAATCCACTATCATATCCTTTTATACAGTAAATTGACCATACACTTTTACTTTGTGTGTCAAGGAAACCTGTATTTTTTATTGTAATAAATATAAAAAATAAATAAAATATCTCCTATTTACAATGCTTTTATATTTGCTCTAATTAAATATCTTCACTTTGTGCCCAGGGTTTAATTGTTTGATTTTTTGTAATTTTAATAAAATAAGACAGTTGTGTTCTGTGTTGTTACAGAATGTGATACAAATATCAGCAGTTTGTTACAACTTTGAGCTAGAGTTGTGTCATCTGTTCATCACCAAGTTCTACCTCAGTTTCACTTACTTCTCTAGTTCTGCCTTTCTTGTTTCAAAGAATCCAAACAGGAGGTAGTTAAAAAGCTCTATACTCCCTGCATTATATCTGCTGTCAATTCCTGAAAATAAAGCGAATTTGGCCAGTCAATTTTTTCTATTGGCAAGTGTATACATTGTTAAGAACAGTGATCAATATATCAGGACTACGAACTTTCTTTTAAACATTTGCATGCACATCAAAATTATAATAAAGAGTCAACAAAATGCTGGAGAAACCAAGAAAACAATACTAAAACATGTAATTTTCTTCAAGTTTAGCAGGACAATGGGTGGGCCATTTTGATTGTCAAATCTTAAATAAATGCTTGAGAAGTATCCGGAAAAGCGCTGGAAGCAACATTGCTTGAAAGTAATGGAATATTCGTAAAACAAAAAAAATCAAAAAAATCTGGACCCTCTTTTTTCAAAAATACTGGACCTGGAAAATTGCAAGAACATGCTTAAAAAAAAAGGTGCTCTGAAAATCCTTTGTTTGTACATGGTTTAAATGAACTTCATTTTTTAATAAAAAAATAAAAAAAAGGAGTACGAGGTATAATTATGATAGTAGAATATTCTACATGAGAATTGAATTTTAAGTGTATGTAGCATAATGTAACTGTACCCATTGCACTGTCTGTATACCTGCTGAAGCTAAATCTTTATGTAGCTGTCTTAACTTGCGCTGGATTTGTTCTATTCGATCACTGTTTAACTCTGGTGTGTCTGTATATGGAGGTCAGGTTGTTTTGCCCTAAATGCTGTTCACCTTGTGTTGTTTCGCACTGGGTTGTTTCACTCAAAAATACTTTTAGGGTGAAACTTTTTTAGTCTTGTTTAGCTGTGTATGGCTTAAATACAGTCTCATTTGAAATTTTCGTAATATTCCCTTAGTCTTATTTGTTGTTTAACTCATTAGATTTGTGTATAATTTACCAGATCTGCACATACAATGTGACATTCACTTGCATAAAATTCTTCCAAAATCACAATTGTTCACAAAACATGAAAACATTAAGTTTTTTAATCATTAAAACTGATATTTTTCAGTCAAAAAAAAATACATTCATAAAATTATTATTATTGGGCGAACAACCTTAGGATGAAACGACCCAATGTGTGAATGGAGTTTAAGGCGAAACGACCCGGATCAATCTGTATGCACTGCAAGTAATCAGTGGTTTTATTGTCATATGCTACTTTGTCATAGCACCAAAATAACATTAAATATATCTTCTGCTACTCCAAAGAGTATGGGCTAAAGCTCATCCACACACCTGCTATACACAGAATAGTGTCCGGTTTGTCAGAATCCCTGGATTGCTCCTTCAGCAGACTCTGTACATTTCTCAGTCGAGTTGCACTGAAATAAAGACATGCATCAGAATAAACGATTACATATCAACTGTTTAGCAAGCAGATTGTCACTTTCTCCAATACTCGTAGCATTAAAACGTATCGCTACATATGTTAAATGACAAATCACATGATGTACTTCAAAACGTTGAATTCGAATTCCCCCCATAAAATGCACTTTTCAGTAACATTTTCGTTTGCGTCATTTAACAATAATTATTGGTATATATGACGATCATTTTTTATTACAAACCTGACGAAAGGTGAAAATGTTTCAATCTTTATGTTTCTTCTAGCAGAAGAGGGTCGTTTCGAAGTTCTTGACATCTTAGCGTCCTTAGAGAGACAAAACGGTCGCCATTAAATTTTTACAGCGCTTAAAACGTTCAAAATAAAATGTGCCAACTTGATGTCGCAAATGAATAACAAATCAACACCTTAAATATTTGTAATATACTTTTGCTTCTTGTTTTCTTAACTATAATACATAACATATTGTGAATTGATAGTTTTGCATTTATTATTTTTTATGGATATAAGCATATCTGTATTATCGTAGAAAAGTTACCGATTGTCACTCACGAAGTTATTGACGAAAAAGATAACGACTAACAACTAAGGCTGTTCGTTTATGCGGAACAACCGGTTCATCTATGTTTTAATGTAACACATTTAATTATAAATCCTGGCGGACATGTAAAAGTTAAGGCGGGCCTTTCAAGGGTTTTTTTTAAGGCTCACCTAAACGCAACATCACTCAGAAGTTTACTAGGTCCGACCTTATTTCATAAACGAACAACTTTTGTCCAACCGGTTCACCCGTTTGGATCGCGATAAACGAAAATGTGTAAATGTTTGCATGTGAGTTTCATCTTTCCGGCTTATTATTAAAGAAAAGATACAAGGACATTTTGTTTTAATTTGTTTACTATATAAGCCCGGTCTTTTCCAATGATAAATTATGATCTTATAATTTGTATTCCTTCACTTCATAATAGAGTTTCACAGAGTGTGTCAAATCGAAACACTGTCATTTTGTATTTATAAAAACGAAAGCACGAATAACGTTAACGCATTCACAATTAGTTTTATTTATACATATGTGGTGAATAAAACTTTGATTTAGCTCTAATCGGACCGTTTTTCGCCAACTCATAAAAACTGTAGGAAGCAACTTCTCTTCCAAGAGCTCGGGAAAAATATCAATTTTATATGAGCCTGAATAATATATCTGTTTACGATAAATTTTAAGCACTAAATTGCATTTGAAACCTCGCCTACTTGGACATTTTCCCGATTTTATATAAGGAATGCAGTGACACAATTCTGAAATAAAGCGTCTTCATGTATAGTATAATATTGTGTGTAACAGTTAAGTCTATGATCTTCGACGGTCAACAGTTTCCTTGATTATACAGGATCCGCTTTGATGGAACCACACGTGGTGCAGTAAGTAGGCCTACTTACCTTTCTGGAATACGGTATGTTTCACGATTACCTTGCTTTGGTTTATTCGCGTCGGGTTTACCAATTGTCTATGGCGTGCCAAGTTGATTTATAATGAGGTATTGAATTCATATTTTACTCGAACGTTTAGGGAAAGAAGTAACAGCCTAAGAAAGATTTATGTTTCAGATAACTAAGTAACAATAGTAGAATCATGGTATATGACATACATGTTTTATCAGCCGTTCAGAATGTATTGACTTTACAACAGTAACTATAATGATTCGATAATAAAGCTACGGTAGACACAGTTCCCCTGGTCGGCACACGTGTGACTTTTGGCTGGCTATTTCAAGGGGACAATAGACTTGCATCAGTCATTTTTTGGCATATTTGTGTAAATCAGATAACTAAGGACTGATTCAAGTTAGCAAAGACATCAACTGGCATTTCAGGAGTCATTGATCATGCTATCGTACTACCAGTCGTGACATTCTCCCTCGTATTGTGATATGGAGAGTGCTGGTGGGGACGATATCATAGCTGTAAGAGTGTGTTAGTGCGATTTTCAGAACCTACAGACTTGTAACACTACAGCTGATGAATTATGAATAAATTAAATATAGACATTATTCTTGTCATGAAAAGACCCTATTTCAAATTGGTAATTGGTTCAACATTCCAACGTAAATCTAAGCGTGAGTTTCGGAAAGCAAAAATCTTTTACATATATGACACAATCGAGAAAGACTGATGAAAAGAATACCACACTATTCCGATGTGATTGGCCATTACAACAGGATTGGTCAGACTTCTTTTGCGTATTCATGCACAATATCTTATCTTCAAGAAATGCAAAGTGCCGAAAATTACTGCTTGGCGTTGAGGACAGGTGTGTCATAAAAAAATCATCGAACACATTCAATTCACACAAAGTTAAGTAAGCATTGTTTCAAACCAGGTTTTACTTATGATACGCAGCTCATTCTGAGAAGGCAAGGCAACAGTGTTTCTACTGACAGCGTTTGTCTTCACGAAGACATTAGGCATCAAGCCTCATCATAATTTATTGTTTGAGCTACGAAATTACGGCATGTATGGGGATACCCACCATTGGCTCAGCCCGTTCCTCTGTAGCCGGGATATCCTCTCTGATAACCTTCTTGTCTGGAGTTTTTTTCACAATGGGCGGTCCTTTTAATTTGCTCCTAATATTTCTGTTATATCAACAACTCATCCGACGCTATTTTTTTAATGACACTCTCCTCTCTACCGAACGACAAGTTCTGAGAAGAATGCATGAACGCTCCAGGACAACCTCAACAGTTTTGAATGTTGGACAATGAACTGGGAAATGCGGTGCAATCCAAAGAAATTAACAAATGTCCGCCTTCCTTAAGGATGTACACACCTCCGAGAAGTCAAAAACATCCTGTATTAAACTTTTTTTCTTATATGGATTTTTGGAAAAAAGAGTTAATGGCATAGTAGAAAATGCAAAAAAAACTATATGTCCGTGTGTTCGATTTAAGTTACCCCTACTCCCAATTTTTTAATGAAAAAATACTCAATTCTTTACCATTTTTTTCAGATTAAACGCTTGATATAAAAAGTTCTCCTATTAAACTTTTTTTAATATCTTATGAATTAAAAGAAAATGTATTTCTCTTTCTAAAACATCCACAAAAATGGGGGGTCTGTGTGCTTCTTTTTCTTGTGTCCAATTATCATTTGTGTTATTTATTTATCTTTTTTCGGGGTCAAAAATCAAAAGTGCTTCAGTAACGCTAAATATTTAAAAAAATAAATATCAATAATGTATAATTTTCCAGTTTGTTGCATATTATTTTTATCATATTAAACGATATTATAAGTGATCATTCTAGTGTCAAAAAAGGTGAAATTTTTGCCTTTTTTGAAGCGCAAGAAATACACATTAATACACATTTCCAAAATGGCCGCCAAATTGGTATTTTTTTTAAATTCTTGTAAAAAAAAATCTACAAACAACAGGCATCTAGTTTTTTGACATATTTTTAAGATGCGTGTTTGCTAAAAAAAACTTGATCATAATTTGTAAATATTACAAAATCCCGTTACACCAGATCAAAATTAGACTTGAACGTGATTGAAACCTCAGAAGAGTACATCCTTAAAATCTCTCGGCAGGAAGAAACCCCACCAAACGAGCGAGCATACCTATATTGGAGCATCATCAGTGTCGACCTGAACTGAACTATGCCTATCATTCAGACTGTAAAAATGTCCTCTTCACCAAAGGATTCACCATCCGGAATAGGAAGCACTGACTGTGTGATGGCCTGTGAATAGCGTATCTCTGTCTTTTGCGGTTGATTCTTGAGTCTGACTGTGCTGTGTTGACCCCAACACGACATTACGAATCATGAGTGGTCCAAGGGCAAAGTCACACGCTTGATGAGGCAATGATGATGCATGTTTACTACGATTGACACTGCATATAGTTGAGGTACAAGCCTTGAGCACCCAGAACTTTATAACACCAGTGAGAGATACAGCGAGTTTCAGTACCAGCACTAAGAAAAGTCTATTCCTGAAATCATGACAGGGGTTATATAGTGAACCAACCAAAAAATCAACTATTCAAAAACTAATTCTTCACTCGGGTCACCAAAGACTGGTGGCTGCTTGACAGGAAGACAGTCAATTGTGCAACAATAGAGATGTCAAAGTTGTCTATCGGCGCTACCAAATACAAATAGAGAAGCTGGGGTACAGCAGGGTGGCATTGTCAAAGAAATGGCACCAGATAGGTAAGGACTAGGATTGTCAAATTGGTCTACAGACAGGCATTTAGAGAAATTGTGTTTTATTGAAAGAGCTGTGAGACTGTTCCAAGTAGTAGGAATAATGAAACAGGCAGCTGGTTACATTGAAAAGAAGCGAGACAACAGAGGCTGAAATGGAATGACATTTGGAACAAAGAAGGCTTCCAGTTTACTTCCCTGCTGAAGCAGACCTTCAACTATGCATGTGATTGGAACAACAAGGACATACATGCCAACTATTCACTAGATTCGCAAAGGCACATGTACTGTCCTATTGTCTTATGCTTGTGCTGACAGATGGTATGTGTAGGTCACCAGCCGACTGGACAGCCAGAAGACGTGCATGGTCACGGAAAGGCTGTTCTTTATTCTAGCTGATGATTTGTTTCCATAGTCAGCAAGGTTTTTTTAAAATAAACTATTTATTTTACAATAATTATGAAACAAGTTTTGACAACTTATATTAATCACTTTTGTTGGCCCGGATGGGGTCTTAATGTGGGAGGAAACCAGAGTACACGAGGGAAACCCACGTGATTGGGCAGGTGACCCCATACCTTTTCACGTCGGATCAGGGAGTCGAACCCTGGCCGCCTTGATGAAAGGCAAGTGCACTATCCACTGCGCAAACCATCCACCCTCAGTCAGTAAGTTGCCAGACTGCAACAGAATTCCAGAAGGGTACCAAGACGCTATTCTACCGATGGCTAGTGGAAGACTTCAGGCCGGGTGCTTTATGGTATCTTTTCCGTGTACATGTATGAAACAAGTTTGGAAGCTCTATATTCACTCTCGGAGACACTTGAACAGTGTACTAGTAATTCCATTCCTATATATACCCATTGTCTTATAACAGTGACTTGGAGGTGTCTGTGATAAGAAAATTACGTAATATTCTTGACTTTAAAGCAACATTTTAGAGACTGATGTCACTTCCCTTTTTTCCCCAAATTCAGAACTCAGAATTTCTGAAATGTCACAGCCTTTGGCACAGTAGTGGCTAGTGTAGGTGATAGAGCACATGAGATATGCATGGGCCATACATCTGAAGTGGTACACGGGGAATAAAGGGCCATAACTGTATTTAGTCGGACAGAAAATCCTTTTTCAGTATGCAACATCCCAAAGGGTACTTGCTTGCAAATGCATAATTTTCCCTCTAGTAGTACCAATAGGACTTACGACAGTATTAGTATCAATAATGAGATAAATGAGCTCCAGTAATTTATCAGTTTCATTAATAATATAGTAATAACACAGCACAATAATGAGAATTCATTTGTAATTTTTATTCATTAAAACTAACTTCAATATCTTTGTTTCAAATGTATAATTACACTAAATAGACATTACACATAGTTTGATACAGTCTGACATACAAGTCATTGTTCTCCCTACTTGTCTAACAAGTCTATCTGAAAGTACAGCTAGCTTAGAACAGGAAATATCCTAAACAGACCTTGTATATACATAGTACTTTGCAGTGACACATTGTGGTAGGAAAAGATTACACATCTTGAAAAAAGTATTTCATGAACAATTGGAAATAAGGAAAAATACCAGTATCAAATATACCAGTATGATTTCATATGGAAAAACTTTTGAACACAAAATATAAAATACTTCCTCGGGTACAGTTCAATTAGAACAATATTATTTCAAACATTATGCACTGCAACTTTAGATGTACTTAACTGTCTAAATTAGATAGGTGTTTGTGAGTGAACAAAATGTCATACTTATTGAACAAAGTAAAAGCTTGCATTATTTGTACTCTTACAAAAACAATATACATGTAATTTTCACAGAAAATAATCGTTTTTTAGGCTTTAAATTCAGATGGAGACAGAATATTAAACTTTATAATAAACTACAATTCTGTTGAACTAACAGTTTGAGGTAAATTGGAGGTGAAGCCTATATAAATTTATTACTATCAGATAGGTGTATTATGCTACAGTACTCTCTAACTATATAATAGTGATGTCTTACAATATTCAAGTACAAATAATGATTTGATCTTTTACGATTGGCTATTGTCAGGTTTATGGTGCGCTAAATGACAACCTCTCTTCTTCCTTATATAGATGCTACATATAAATCAAAACAGCCTTCCTAGTTAATCTGTTTAGTTTATTACATTTCACACAGAGTAATAATTAGGGAACATCATTTTGTATCTGGGTTATATCCTTTTATTCGTAAATCAGTGGGTTATCTCCCTTTATTTCTAAATCATTTGGTTATCTCCCTTTAATACTAAAAATATCTCTTCATTCGTAAAACAGTTGGTTATCTCCCTTTATTTGTAAATCAGTTGGTTATCTCCCTTTAATTCTAAATCAGTTGGTTATCTCCCTTTATTACTAAAAAACAGTCAATGTATTATATTTGTTTGGTTATCAAATGGTTGAGGGTAAAAAAACTAAAAATAACTACCACAAAATGTGTTTAAACTGCTTTTGTTTAATGTAAACATTAACAGATCTTAACAACCTTCCTGTATATCAGTATACCATGTCATGTACTGTCCAACATCTTCTTTCACAAAACATATAAAGTCAAAACAATATTCTCAAGGAATGAATGTGGACACATGAAAACTTTAAACTGTTGCAATGGAAATGGCTGATAATATGGGAGTGTAGTGGAATTCTGTCGTGAGGATGATACGTAGGCTACAATGGGACGGTGATGAAGCAAAAATGTAGTTTTATCTTTTATCAGAGCAACATGGGACTTCAAGGGTAACATACATAATCCACAAAAAATATATATAAATTGTTAAATGAATACCTTCTAAATTCATGTTAAAGTCTTAATATTGGACTTCATATACACATGCCAGTTCCATACAGGAAGTCGACTTGTTTAAGCAGGAAGTGTGTTACAAGTACTATTTGACTACTTCCTGTCATAGAATCAAAATGTTACTGATCTGTACAGGAGAACTCCAACATGACATTTTATATCATCAAATGATTTAACTATCTGCATTGAAACTATTTAAGTTACTGGAGGAAATACTGTAACATTAGTATGACAACATATAAATACAGGGAACAGTAGTTTTGAACTACCCATTTATCACTTGTGCCATTTATTGAAACCTTTATAGGAATGTACGATCTCTTGACTTCTATAACAAGATGCATCACCCTTATCAGAATCAATAGAATTAAATACAGCAGAAACTAAAGAGAATGTCAAAATATAAACGTTATGTACTTGATCAGTGAATACTGTTCACGGTTAATGTAACAGCAATCAATACAAACACATATCCAAACCTTATTTCTATTGAGGAGAATTCCAGGAATAAAAAGATATTAATCGGAAATAAAGGAATACAAGAAATTGGTCTGGCATGCCTTCAAAATATGGATATACATAAATTCTACCACAGTGTTTGTTCTGTTACAGACAAAACCCGGGGATCACAGGAACAAGCTTGGGGAGTAAACAGAACCAACAAGCCGTGGGACAACACACCAGAACCAGAAAACTACCCCCTCTCAGTCAATACCCCCCTCATCTCACTTTGTCTCATGCTAAGAAAAATGTTCACATGATCAAATCATTTCATATTTCAATAAATTAATTATTAAATATTACCTGGGTATGGTAAAATAAAATCAGTGAAATTTGCATACTCATTAAACCTGAAAATATAATTTTAAGTCAAAGAATTAAACTGATCTCCCTAAAACACTCAAATTACTGCATACATTTTGACTGAACATATCTTTATTTCTAATGAAGCTCTGCTTCCAGTTCTTTATAATTAGAGTTGTTTATCTCCTGTTTAATAAACACGCAGATCCAGATCTCTAATTATATAAGTGTCACGTTAAGTAAATTGTGTTTTCCAGATTAATAAGGTATATTTACATCTGTTAAAGAATCAATGATGTTGACTGAGAGGTGGGGCTAGCAAGTTAACACTTGCCTACATCACAATTGCTAAAAGTTACAATGGAAATGGATGGAGAGCAAAACAACAGTAAAAGGGTTGTTTCGTCAGTTTTTACAGACTAGTTTGACACAAAATATCAAAATATTTATACAATCTCAGAATAAGACGAGTTGTGTGTTTCTATTCTTCTATGTGAATTATATTTCAATAAATAGTACTGACACAAGATTATACAAGCAACATGTACTGAAACCTTGCCTAACAGCGCTAAAATTATATACAGCTTCGGTTATTTATTTTTTTATAAAAAATGGAGTTATCTCCCCTCCCCTGCATCTGACTTCTTTTTCTGTACACGCATAAATATTTTGTATTTCATGAATAATCTCATCTGAAACATTGGTATAACCAAACATGTTTCCCTATAATCTGGGAGAACATCAACTTCATTTAAAATCAATAGATCTTAAAATGACAAATCCATCACAACTGCATATTTGATTGTTGCAGTACCAATAATCACCTTATTGATGTCGTTATTTTATGTAGTTCTTCTTCATATTGTTCTTATCTCCTTAGATATCACATGTGCTTGTCAATCAAAGTTGGATAAAAATGTGCTTAATTTCATTGGAATAAATAATATATATTATTATATATAAATATATTGGACCCTGTTGAATATGTTTGAAGTTTAGGAGTTAAATAACACAAATGAGACATTACATTTCAACATATTTTATCCTACATTGACTGTGAGGAAATCATCACATATTACACACCAAGGAAACCATACACTTTATAATGATAATAAATATTGGTAAAACATTTACCCATGTTCTATTATCCAATGATATGCAATGTTTTTTCATTTGTAATACAGTGTAACATATATCTACCTCAGACAACGTCAGTTAGTGTAATACAGTGTAACATATATCTACCTCAGACAACGTCAGTTAGTGTAATACAGTGTAACATAACATATATCTACCTCAGACAACGTCAGTTAGTGGATGTTGTGTATTGTTCTATTTGATCAAGTGGTTGTGAGATTTTAAACCACTGAGTTGACAACACCAGACTCTGTGCTATAAAAACAGCCTACTACAATGGAGGCATTACACTACTCTGCAGATGACACAAGAAACATGACCGATACATTGCCTAATACTGAATCAATGTGAACTATCTAACACGGGGTTATCATTTCTGTCAGCATAGGACTGACACACTAAAGTCAGTCTTGTTTTGTAGCGTAATTATACTTATACCGCGTAGTATTTCTTCCAACTTTACTACTCAATTACTGAAGTTACATGTTTCTGTTATCAACTCATTTCTAATAGCTTCTTCTCACATAATCTTCAACATGAAAGCCTAATAACCAATCAATTTAATATTTAAATCTACTCATCTCTAAAATCGTTTCACTGTGTGACTGGATTTGCTGTTACCGATGTACCAAGCATGTAATATTTTAGCAAGTTCTTGCAAAAGTGGTACTGACCAACCAACATTCATAACTATCGCTGCAGTAAAAAGTAAAGTAAGGGAAATGTCATTTATTATTGTTTTATATTAAAAATTCAAAGCAATCTAAAACAAATGTCAAACCTTTACTTTCATTCTGATTTTTTTCCTTTCAATTTAAATTATAAATGTGACTGTTTATTTCAAAATCAGCTGTTCCCTATATTTTTTTGTGTATGTGACGTTGAAAGAAATATAGATACAAAGTATTTCGGAGGTGATGGAAAGATGTTACTTTAAAAAGTCATGCTTATGTACGGGTAGGAAACAGGTGTCAACATATGTTACTGGCATTTATAATTAGGACTCACAACATTGTCAACTCTATGGGGCATGGCATCTTAGAAATTTAATCAGCGAATCAAATTACATACCTCGTCTCCCTACCTTGATTTGATCTGATTTGTAGGAAATCTTTGGGGAGTAGAGGGTAAGAGTGACGATAATGAATACAAAGGGGCGTGATATGTCCAGTATAGTTACATGTTGATGAGACAGTAGCTGGCCTATGTACATGTAAATAATCACGTATATCACACCTCTCCTCACTACACAGTAGTCACACCAACAACAAACTTGTATCTGTGTTCGTGTTTACCTTGATGTTGGGTGTACACTTCAATGTTGTATGTACAGAACATTTGTATTGTGACCAATGTGTGTAGGTTTACCCTTGGTATTTGGGTATACAGTGTACACTTTAGTGTTCTATAAAATAATGAACAATGTCAATAATTGTCAGTAAAATAATTATGTAATATCAGTGTGTGTTGGCAAGTGTTCTAAATTGGTTAGGTCAAGATTGAGAAAAAGATTTGACACACATGAAAAATATCAATATTATATGATACAGTTTATCGTAATTCTCATTGTTTGTATCATAATCATGTAGAGGTCGGTGATTTGTGATGTTAACTCATTCACCCCTGAAGACACATTTGAACTCCTATTTAGAGGTTGGAATAGTTAATTATGAAATTTTAGGGGTACAATTTTTAAAGTAGCAGTCTATCCTCTCTTTATGACACCACTTGAATTGTAACAGTGCTCTCTATCAAATGCAGGTTTTTTTCTGCATAAATTTTTGATGTTCCATCTTGCTAGATGATTAAAAACATAATTTCATATCAAATGTAACAATAAAAGACTTTCATTTTTGCTGAATACATGTTTTTGGTTATATGCATCTGAAAAGTGATATTGATCTCGACTTTGTCTCTGCAGTTAATAAAAAATTCGCAGGTCCATATAACCAGCTATTCACCTAAACGAAAGTCTATGACTGACAATGTCACCGTGACCTATATTTCGGGCTGAGGTATGAGTGTAAGCATGTACTAGAAAGTTGTCAATGTAAACATACTAATCTGGGAAGTGTTATGTAATTGTGATACCAGTAAGTGTGTTATGTAATTGTGATACCAGTAAGTGTGTTATGTAATTGTGATACAGGTAAGTGTGTTATGTAATTGTGATACCGGTAAGTGTGTTATGTATTTGTGAAACCAGTAAGTGTCTTATGTAAGTGTGATACCAGTAAATGTGTTATGTAATTGTGATACCAGTAAGTGTGTTATGTAATTGTGAAACCAGTAAGTGTGTTATGTAATTGTGATACCAGTAAGTGTGTTATGCAATTGTGATACCAGTAAGTGTGTTATGTAATTGTAATACCAGTAAGTGTGTTATGTAATTGTGATACCAGTAAGTGTGTTATGTAATTATGATACCAGGAAGTGTGTTATGTAATTGTGATATCAGTAAGTGTGTTATGTAATTGTGATCCAAGTAAATGTGTTCTGATACGTATGATACAAGTCTGTTCTTAAAAAAAATGACAAAAGTGTATTTACTTAGAAGTATGACTTCCATGTATGTTCTGAGAAGTATGATATCAGTGTAACTTAAGTATAATATCAGTGGTTCTCTATCTGCTCCAGATCAAGGTCCTCCTGTAGTGTGAATATCTCCTCTACCTCATCATCCCCACCCTCACATTCCTCACACCCCTCCCCCAGGAGCTTGACAGGCCCCTCCCCCAGACTGTCACTGGCTTCACTGTCCAAGAACTCGGCACTGTCACTGCGACCACTGTCCATCTCGCTGATCGGACTATTTCGAGCGGCCATCATCCGTTTGATGGGCAGATCCGTGTCCATGGGAGAACTTGCGATTGGCATCAGACTCATTACAGACTCAAGCTCCTCGTGGAATTTGGAAACTCGCTTCTGCAAATAAATCAAAATACCATCCCATAAATTGATTGTTTTCATGAATGATTAGAAATAGAGATAAATGTACATGGTTAGATGTGGTGACCTCGTCCATCACTAACGACGACCTTCACCTTGCTGGTTTTGATTTCTCCTATACATGCAACACACAGACAGAATGACCTAAATATTCTTTATGAATGGTTTCCACATCGGAATAGGAAACCAACGGAACATTTGTGAGAAAAAACAACTATAAAATCAATATACCATATTTTAAGGCGGAAATAATTAAACGATACATTTATTATAAAATTCCTATGATCTTCAATGATGGGTTCATGGAAATTAAGACATGTACTCTAAGTTACATTGAAGTAGCATGTGATTTTGTTGGAGGCCAGGAAACAATGATAATTAGGCTTTACAGGTGAGGAGAGATGCAAGTCTAACACTCTGTGACAGATCTAGACCAGCTGACAAAGGCCACGCCAGTCTGATGAAGCTGTTTCCAGTAAAAAGTCCTTTGTATGTCTGTTTATTACTGTCATTATACAATTATGTACGAGATACCCACCATACCAAGGTAAGGTAACAGATAGCCTTGTCTCGCATACAGCCAATCTCTGAATCAGGCCAGCAGTCATACCGCATATGGATCATTTCCTAACCATAACATAAATATACTGCTGATCAACTCTAGGGAGGTCAAACAATACAATTTTCGAAAACATTCATGTTTTCCAAGCCTAGTAAATGAATTATATCTCTTGCCCTCATACTGTGTTGTCACGAATATTCTAGGACATTAAATAAGCTGATCTGTGACTTCCCAATTACAGAAACTACTGGTATTGCCAAGCTTGGCCGAATCATCATCATAGGGGAATCTGTCTGTCAGTTTTTACAATGACAGTTTAGATTTTTAGGTTTTGACAGACAATTAACTTTTAATTTCTATTTTTTTTATTTGTATGCTGGCAAGGATAAGTGGTTTTTGTTTGTATGTATAGCAGCCTGGATGTGTGAATTTTGTGTGGCAGCCAGGGTGTGTGAATTTGTGTGTGTGGCAGCCAGGGTGTGTGATTATTGTGTTTGACAGCCAAGTTCCCTGTGATCTGCATGAGCAACCATCAAACTCTGAATTATTGATACCAACATCAATACACATTCCATGTATACTATATAGTATGAACTGAAAAATTCTTGAACCCATAAAAACATATTTCAAATTGACATATCAGGGACCTTGACCAAACCAGCAGTCATGCAGATCCACTATAACGACTACGGTACTGTATATAATGCTAGGAGTACCCACTATAACAGCTACGGTACTGTATATAATGCTAGGAGTACCCACTATAACAACTACGGTACTATATATAATGCTAGGAGTACCCACTATAACGACTACTGTACTGTATATAATGCTAGGAGTAATCACAATAATGACTACTGTACTGTAAATAATGCTAGGAGTACCCACTATAACGACTACGGTACGGTATATAATGCTAGGAGTACTCACTATAACAACTACGGTTCTGTATATAATGCTAGGAGTACCCACCATAACAGCCACAGTACTGTATATAATGCTAGGAGTACCCACTATAACTACAACGGTACTGTATATAATGCTAGGAGTACCCACCATAATGACTACGGTACTGTAAATAATGCTAGGAGTACCCACTATAACAACTACGGTAATGAATATAATGCTAGGAGTACCCACTATAACAGCTACGGTACTGTATATAATGCTAGGAGTACCCACTATAACGACTACGATACTGTATATAATGCTAGGAGTACCCACCATAACAACTACAGTACTGTATATAATGCTAGGAGTACCAACTATAACAGCTACGGTACTGTATATAATGCTAGGAGTACCCACTATAACGACTATGGTACTGTATATAATGCTAGGAGTACCCACCATAACAGCTACAGTACTGTATATAATGCTAGGAGTACTCACTATAACGACTATGGTACTGTATATAATGCTAGGAGTACTCACTATAACAACTACGGCACTGTATATAATGCTAGGAGTACTCACTGTAACGACTATGGTACTGTATACAATGCTAGGAGTACTCACTATAACAACTACGGTACTGTATATAATGCTAGGAAAACATGGCCCTGACTACAAGCCTCCTCCCTAGGGAGTACATGGTAATGAGATGCCTGACACAGCTGCTAGATGACAATGAACCATCACGTCCCCAGACACCCAGATGTTAAAAGTCGCTGAGGCAGGACTTGACAAAACAAAGCACTTGCTAAATTATTCAATAACCACTGTTAATTCTTTTATAATGGTGTAATAACAAGTATATTTTAATTCTCTTTCTCTGGTGAACAGAGGGTAGGGTACATAACACTCTCTGTGCAGCAACAACAATAGCTATACTGATAGAAAAAATCCTTTTTGCAATGATCAATTAACATTATAAGCAAGTGACTTGGTCCCAGAGAACTTCGAGACTGACAAATTGTGTACATATAGATCCACCAGGTTCAGCAAGCATACATACCTGTTTATATATATTTCATCATGGTATATAAATAGATACCAGCTGATCAAACTAACAGATTCTAGATCTAGACAAGATACATGTTAAGATCAGGCATAGAAGTACAATTATAGGGAAACTTTAACAACTTGAGCAAAGAGCTGACAGCTTGGGATCAATCCCACTGGCATCAGATAGGTATTTATTGATCCTCATATGAAGATCAAGGTCAAGGAAGAGTTTGTGACAAACCACAACAATCCTTTTCACAAGAAAAATATATTTCACAATACATGTTCTATGGCCCTGTAATTTACTGCATTGGGTTTTACACAGACATTGTCATTGATTGTGTACTAGACAATGTGTAACGCATAATTTGTTTGTTTGTTTGATTTTGTTTACCGTCCTATTAACAGCTAAGGTCATTTAAGGACGGCCTCCCCTGTGTGCAAGATGCATGCGTGTAGTGTATGTGTGTGTATTTTGGGAGGCTGCGATATGTTCGTGTTCGTCTCCTTGTGATAGCGCGGAACTGATGCCGACTTTATAGTGCTACCTCACTGAGACATACTGCCGAAGACACCCAGCAGGACGCCCCACCCGGTCACATTATACTGACAACGGGCGAACCAGTCGTCCCACTCCTAATTTGCTGAGCGTTAAGCAGGAGTAGAAACTACCATTTTTAAAGACTTTGGTATGTCTCGGCCAGGGGACAGAACCCAAAGCCTTCCTCACAGGGGCGAACGCTCAACAAAGGGCCAAAAGTGAGGCATTGTCAAAGGAGACCTTAGGAAGAAGAAAGTTATTTAGAAAGGAGAGAAGAGATAAGGTCCCAAATGTAGTCGCCTCTTACGATCATGCAATTGGGGGCAGCAGGTACAATTCTTACGCCCTACCTGCAGGGACGCATAACACATTCTACAACTCATCAAGTAAAATGTATAGTGTACAATTCATTCTGTAATAAGCATTATGTACCATGCATTTGCACAACATGTGTACAATACGCTGTGTACATAAAATACAATGATCTATGTGTAGGACCCATGTATTATAGTTACCTCTTTGAGACCCTGACGTGACGACAGTGACTCTGATCTGGGTATTTGTTGATACGCCGTCTGTAAACAGAAAAGAGTTTCACTGCATCATATATGTAATCGGTAGATTTCTTTTAACAGCGCATAATATTAATTATTCAATACTAATATGTAAATAACAGTCAACCCATACAAAATTCTGAGATCAGAATGAGGTGCAGTCTGCCATACCATAAATACCCTTATCTTATACTCAGTACAATAAGCATTACAGTTGACTATAATTATAACTCACAATATTCCTATCGCAACAGGAAATATTTAGAGAACATTGTGATACATATAAATGTGTCATAAGCACCATTGTCCTGTGGAAGACGTGATAATAATGTCTTCATATGGAGCCAGTGGAGTATGACAAAATGGTAAAAGATCTAGCCAGTCACGATCACTTGTTTGTTGTTCCTGACTTAGTTGTCTAGATGGAATGTTCCTCCAAACCATTGTAGACCAGGGACTGGGATAGCTTATACTGTTAGTTACTTCAATCTCACAAATTAAAATCTTCCTTATTCCATAGATATTAACATTAAAATGCATATCCTCTAAATCAGGAGTTTAAATATTCATGAATAAAACATACAGACATTGTTCGTAAAATAAAATATAAAACACAAAAATAAAGTGAGTTTCAGTAACATATATTGATGGGTTTGATTCCTAGCCAAGGCACTATTCCCATATGATATTGAAAATCAAATTAGACTCAATTTCGTAATTTATGTTTCTCCCACAACCACTATAGGTTTCCCCACTCCCGATTCATTAGATAAACCTGTTAGGTGTTGGTAAACGCTTCTTGTTACCCATTAGTAACACCTGAATATTATTTCATTGGCCCATCTTATAATTATGACGTCAAGTAACAATGACTTGGGACGTCATCTTTCATTGTGACGTCATATCTAGCTTCAAGGCAATTGTTTCCCCTTTCAGAAAAAGGAATAATGTATTTCCAAGAGAAACACAACATCAGAACATTGTGGTCCCTAAACCGGTGATGGTTGATTATCATGTTAATCTAAATCTTGTTAGTTAATTTTTAAATTGTAAAAACACATTCAGCAAACCTTGTGTCTTGATACAATTTGAAAATTAATAACTAACTCGAGTTAAACAGGAAACCCAACCATCACTTGTTGGCGAACCTCTATATACTGAAAACTTAGAACCAGACATCCTGTTTTTTATTTCACTTTGATAGAAAATAAGTTACAAATGATAATGTTAAATTAAGCAAACAAGGATAAAACGTTGTGTGAACATAAATTATACACATGATATAGCTAGAGAGAAAGGATTTGGGATTCTCACAGGTGACTTGTAGAGCAAAATTAAATCCTAATCCACTTAGTGATATAGTCTGACTTTCTGTCCAGGTAAAGAGCTGGATGACCTTGAGGTCAGAGCCACGGCTGACCTTTAAGTGACAAACAGCTGACACAGACTTTCAGGTTACTTTACAGGTAGTTTGAAACGACTATGATCATGACTGACCTTCACATTCCTGTTCGAAAGGCAATATATACTAATTATGTTCATATTACTGTATTCTTCAAGCTATTAAAACTTTGAAAAAGAGAACTACGTTTCTGTTGCTGCCTTTCTTTATTTAAAAATACTTTAGTCCTTAATTGTGTCCAGACCATGATGATGTGGTGCATATGAATAATTATCAGAGACCCGAAATTCTGAAAATACATGACAACACTGCCCTCAAGGGGCCCAAGGTTCCTCACAGGACACTATATGATTACTGCCCTCAACAGGGTCCAAGAGTCCCACAATGATACTGCTTTTCAAATGAGAGTACCCATTCTGTGCCACTTTGGTTTTTTAATTTCTTGAAAAAGCTTTAATCAGACTAGTGACCTCAATGAAATGGCACTATATTTGCAATTTTTTCACAACCCACTAAGAAACTGATAAAAAATCAAGATTTCAATAATTACGACAAATCATACACAAGCAAGTCCCACAAATGTATGTGTCTACTTCAAACCTCAACAATGGACTACAGCTATAACCTCGTCCTAAAAAGGGGGGATATATAAATTCTATGAACTTGCTTGCTATCGAAGTGACCAGCAGATTTTCTTTCATTACAGCACATGATCATAAAATATCAATATTTCAGAAATACAAGGTACTGAACACAAAAATTGGCTAAATAATGGTAATCTTATGTTAGTCTTTGTAAGATGTACTACTAAACAAATCGTATTTATCCTTCAATAAAGCCAAGTGAACTAATACAATCTCTGACTTAAAGTAGGGGATGGGCTTATTAGAGGACAATGAAACAGCAATGATGGACTAACTACATGGTAAACACAGTACTCTCTGTTATTGTATCTAACTTATTACAGGTCCATTATCATCACTTCAAATCACATATAATTGTACGGAAGTATCTGAGAACAACTTCAGTTGGTAAACACTTTGGGTAATAAAATATCATTTTTTTGTACCTGTGCCCCTAGCTGCTTTAATTTATTTAATGCAACTTTTATCACTGAAAGTATTTATTTTATTTTCATTCATGTTTACAATTTACTTCTCTAACAAATGCAGCAATGAAAAAATTCTTATCACAATACACCAATGTTTATTTACAAAATTATGTAACAATATTTTTTATACAATTTAATTTAAATGCTACTTGCTGAGGTAAACAGTGACTGGCTGAGTGACCTATGTAAATATACACTACACCCCGCCTCAGAACCACAGCCTACATACATAATGCCCCTATAGCTGTGTTTACCTCCTAGGCAGGGTGTAATTAATAACTTAATTTGTAACGTCAATATCCCACACAACTTAGGTACAAACAAGTTTTACAAGTGTCCTATTAACTAAAGCTGACCAAACAGGAATTGTACCAACAAAAGCAAGCTTTCTACGTTGTAGACTATGGAGGTTTATGGCAATTCATTTATATATTTTTGGATAATTGAATCTTTTTTAACACATACTAATGTGCAGAAAGACATAATTCTTGCTCAAAGTCTGAAACATAGGAACTAGACTTTGTGTATGCTTAAGTTCAACAACATACAACCTGTCAACAAAAGAATAAATTATTTTTCCTGATAAGGTTCATTCCTGACACAAATATTAACTATACTGAGATTTCAATCACTGAAAAACAGAAAATTGTTTCCATTTTTTTTTTTTTTTAAAGAATCTGGTTTTTAAACTTCAAGAGATGGATGGATATGATTTATAACAGTTTCAAGGCTTGTACAATTACGTGTGTAATAGGATCTCCAAGTGTCATTTGTGTGACTACCTTACACAGTGTCACTAAATAGTTTGTAATAAAGACACGTTCCTTCAGTTCTATTTACAATGCTGGAATCCTCAAATTTAAGGAAATCTCAATACTACAGTCGTTTTATACAAGCGGGGCCTGGACTGCTAATTATGACATGACAGAAATTGCCACATTAACAAAATAAACAATTTAATTGACTTGTTATAGATAATTTACCAACTTCAAAGTTGGTAATCTATGAATACAATAATGTTGGTGTACATGATATCTCAGAGGAACCCAAATATTCCCCGCTTCATTTATTAGTAAATCTATATATATAGGGGATCAAATTGGCCGGTGTATTTCATAATTTGAACTAATTCCATATAAATTACAGTCAGCTAATTTGTCCTTTATTTGTAAAAATATCTCGTATTCAATGGAAAATCCACTGATGATCTCTTTACATGTATATGTTTAAAAGAATATTTGTCCATATGAAGTAGGTAAGTATTAAAAAATAAGAAATAACCAACTTAAAACTAGCAGCTTTTCCCCCTTCACAGAGCTCCTCAGGTATATTAACTTATTCACCCCTGAAATTTCATAATGAACTATACCAACCTTTGAATTAGAAGAGTTCAAATGTGTCTTCAGGGGTGAATGAGTTAACAAAAACTATATAGTAATAGAGTTATACAATGTAATAATTTTGGTATAAAATCTTGTTTGTGTTATAATTACAAACAGACTCCTAAAATGGGGGATGGGCAATTAGGTTTTACATTTGCACTTAAATGTTGATGTCAGAAAAAAGTAACCCACAGTACTGTCATCAGAAGGAAAGCATAAAAACTATGGTTTTTACAATGGTAGTACCAATGATTATATACACACTATTGCTGTGGTCTGTAGATATCCAGAGGAAATCCCCTCAGGACTGTAATCTAACTAAGTAGAACTTCAACTTATTTTTTTTGAAATATTGCCAAACTGAATTTTAAATGATTTTGGAATATTGCCATAATTTTTCTTTGAGCATATTAGGTTTTTGTTAGCACGTAACGCGCCTGATGCACATCAACAATACTGATGGCTTGTGTATTGGTATTTATACCTGTTTACATAGAAGATAAGTCTACACCGATCTATCAGCAGTTTTTCTATAAAACTATTAAAGCAAACTGTTTGTTGATTGGTACCAACAAAAACAAAATCATACACTGGAAAGTATTTCGATAAGTTATATCCAAAGGATCATATCTAAACCAGCAATTTAATCATCAGATTTCTGAATACATTCAAAACTGTAAATCAACTTTGCACTAGAAAATAAAAATTATGGCTGGATAACATACCTCTGTCATTTTGCGAAAATTTAACATTGGACGATCATAGTCCCTGCGACGTTTGAGTCCATATTTTCTGTCATGAGTCATAGAAGGCTGTGAACGGCATCTTGGGATACGATGGTGGTGATGGTGGTGGTGATGGTGGTGATGGTGCTGGGGATGGTGGGACAGAGACTGCTGGGAATGAATACACCCGGGAACACTGGGCGTGGACCCAGAACTGGAACTACATGAGATTTGATCCTCAAATGAAAGACTCCGGCTTTGGAAAGCATCGTACCGGCGTTGACAATGTTCAAGCCATGGTGCACCAAGTGGACTAAATGTGCCGTCATGGCGACCAGAACATGTAGATGTAGAAGATGGACGGGGGACTGGTGATTCAGGTGGGGTGAAGATATCACCAGGGACAACAAACCCTTGTTCACAATTACACATCCCCGAAGGCATCACATTGCCACCGTCACAAGTTCTAAACCCTAATGCTGCGTCACTGCCACAGAAGTTGACAGGCAGAACTGTGGCCTCAGACTGCGTTCTGTCACTGGATATCACGGCCACTGGCTTCCATAACCGCGATTCTTGTGGTTGCCATGATGATGATGGTGTTGGCCGCTCTGGGGGAACAGGGACTGTAAGGGACCTACAGTGTCTCTTCTTAGGCGGGGCTGGAGGGTTTGGGGGTGGCCCTAGATCACTCAATCCATTAGAGGCAAGACTGGCCGTGGGCAGGGCTGTACTTAACCCCTGTTTTAGCGATTCTGATAACAGATCCTTCCCTGATGCAGAATTTAACTGCACTGTCCAAACCTTTTTACCTGAATCAAGAAAGCAAATAAATTTCTGATTTTTTTTTATCTACCTGTTGATACAAGATGCAATCAAGATTTAAAACATTTCTAAATGCACTCTAGTAATACATATATTACACACCTGTATAATTTTATGTATTCAAAGTCATGTTCCATTAGACATAGCTAATCTGTTCTCCCCAATAAAGAAACTTTGTGGGTGTAGACTGAAGAGGTACATTTGTTTATTTTATAATCGATGTACTCACCTGAACCTGCAATGGTCGCCTCCGCATTTTTGCTGAGCTTGTATCTATCCGAGGGCTGGATCTGAAGTGTGTGTAGCAAAATAAGTCAAAGTACAACGAATCAGAACTGAAACTTTACAACTTGTTGATTACTAACCAGATCACCATTGCATAATTCATTCAAGTAACTAAAACATTCTTTCTTTTAACCAACCAGGTTTAAATGTTTTTGTTGTCTGCTTTACCTCTGAACTAATACCATTAATTATGATTTTTTTTATGAATTTCATCTCTGAACTTGTTTTGTGCAGGGTTGGTCTCTGATTTTTTACTTGGTCTGTCTCTAAATACTTAGTGTGTGTGTAAACTCACCAGCTTGATTTGCGAGGTTTTCTTGGTCTGTTCATCGATGGTCTGGTCACGCAGCTTCTCTGTTAGGACATCTACTGCCAGCATGCTGGGTTTGAGCCCGGTCAGGGACATAGATCCCAGGGAGCTGTGGCTCAATACCTCATAACTGAACACACCTATAGAGTCCAGGGGCCATGGGCCACTAGTGTCCACCTCCACACAAAGTCATGGTTGATGGGGGTCTGAATTTAAGTCCTGAAATGAAAATAAATCATTCACTTAATTGTTGGTTTGATTATACTGTGTAGTTTTATTTACCTCCCTTCCAAAAACAAATCAACAAAACTTTTACCACCCCAGTTCAGCACCAAATTAAATTCCCATCTGTCCCCCCCACCCCCTTCCCCAAAAATGGAAAAAGTTGAGGTTAGATCAACTTTATCAATATCTGTATATTTCCAACAGTAGAACCTCTTCAGTTTTATTTATATTAGCTATAATGAAACCTGTAGAGTCTGACAATATTTATATATTACTTTAATGAAATCTGCATACTACGAGTTAGCCAGCAGACGTCAGATTTTAGATAAGTAATGTTTTGGATTAAAGAGATTTATTTGTGGGAAATTTACCAAATGATTATCAGTGATATAGAATTGAACAGAGTCCACTGTGAAAATAGATATATAGCCACAAAAACAAACAGGTATTGAATGATTGACCTTTAAATCCTCTTGTGCCCATTAATATGCATTAATTAAGATCACTGACATTGACCTCCTTCATGAAGGGTATACACTGGGAATATTGAGGACCACATGACTCGCCCCCGGACACCCACAGTGTACTTTGACCGGTGCCTGCTCTGAAGAGTACAATCTATAGGTAAACATACCTTATTTGGAAAATATCCATAACGTTGTCAATATTTACTTTATGATTATCTCACTGGTCTAAAATACTTGTCCATTTTATAGGTTGACACAAAGCACACCATATCAACAAGTACAGGTAAAATGAGAGACAGAGAATGCTGCTCACATAAACGAGGAATTTCTTTACCTCGCTCAATATTCAAATGCAGTGTAAGATAATACTGTACTACCCAGGATGACATAAGCATTTGTTCCAAATATATCTCTGCCAAACTCACCTGTATTCAATTCCTAGATTTTACTTCATTTACACATTAAGCATCCAAAGTAAACTGTCCTTGTTTTACTACAAATTACATTGCACCACACATTGTGCCTACTACCTGTTTCTAACTGCCCCACTACTATATATATACCGTAATAATTATTACACTGCACAAGTTATCAGAGAAGCATGGTTAGTTTATAATACAGATTAGATATAGAAATCGATAGGAACAATGATTCCACAAGGTGACAATACCTGAGTGTACCTGAACACGTGCTATTCCCACATTAGCCACACACAACACTGATACACCGGTACCACACTCTGAAAGGGACCACTCGTACTGAGCATGATTTGGGTTTTAGTATAAAACAAAATGTTCCTTGAGAAGTTGATAGGCAGATTAAATGCTTGGCAAAGGTACAAATCTGATCCAACAGGGGTCAACAGGGCCTCGTGTTTCACGCACAGCATTCCACGCTTACAAATTATGCCAGGTAGGTATAGCAGATCTACTAATGAGGATCACTAACGAGTACAGCGCAGGTATCATCTATCTCCCAACACACCTTTCAATCAATCAGGGCACAACATAATTATACACTATAGCGCCCTATTCTTTAATCTGACCTAATTTTACCAGGCCTTTGAAAATATTTCTTCTGAACTAAGTTGATTAGGTTTGTATAATCTTCCAATCTGAAATTCTTAACAATGTAACAGTAGTTTTTGTTTATATTATTCACAGGGCAATAAGTCTGTATCTCTCTGACTATTCACAGGGTGTTAAGTCTGCATCTTTAACTATATTCACAGGGCAGAAAGTTTGTATCTATAACTACCGTATTCACAGGGCAGTAAGTCTGTATCTATAACTTTACACAGGGCTGTAAGTCTGTATCTATAACTATTCATAGGCCAGTAAGTCTGTATCTATAACTACTCACAGGGCAGTAAGTCTGTATCTCTCTAACTACTCACAGGGCAGTAAGTCTTTATCTATAACTATTCACAGGGCAGTAAGTCTTATCTCTCTAACTATTCACAGGGCAGTAAGTCTGTATCTATAACTTTGCACAGGGCAGTAAGTCTGTATCTATAACTATTCATAGGGCAGTAAGTCTGTATCTATAACTACTCACAGGGCAGTAAGTCTGTATCTCTTTAACTATTCACAAGGCAGTAAGTCTGTATCTATTACTATTCACAGGGCAGTAAGTCTGTATCTCTCTAACTATTCACAGGGCAGTAAGTCTGCATCTATAACTATTCATAGGGCAGTAAGTCTGTATCTCTCTAACTACTCACAGGGCAGTAAGTCTTTATCTATAACTATTCACAGGGCAGTACGTCTGTATCTATAACTACTCACAGGGCAGTAAGTCTGTATCTCTAACTACTCACAGGGCAGTAAGTCTGTATCTATAACTATTCACAGGGCAGTACGTCTGTATCTATAACTACTCACAGGGCAGTAAGTCTGTATCTATAACTATTCGCAGGGCAGTAAGTCTGTATCTTTAACTACGCACAGGGCAGTAAGTCTGTATCTCTCTAACTACTCACAGGGCAGTAAGTCTGCATCTATAACTATTCACAGAGCAGTAAGTCTGTATCTCTCTAACTATTCACAGGGCAGTAAGTCTGTATCTATAACTATTCACAGGGCAGTAAGTCTGTATCTATAGCTATTCACAGGGCAGTAGGTCTGTATCTATAACTACTCACAGGGCAGTAAGTCTGTATCTATAACTATTCACAGGGCAGTAAGTCTGTATCTATAACTTCTCACAGGGCAGTAAGTCTGTATCTATAACTATTCATAGGGCAGTAAGTCTGTATCTTTAACTATTCACAGGGCAGTAAGTCTGTATCTCTCTAACTATTCACAGGGCAGTAAGTCTGTATCTTTAACTATTCACAGGGCAGTAAGTCTGTATCTATAATTATTCATAGGGCAGTAAGTCTGTATCTATAACTACTCCCGGGGCAGTAAGTCTGTATCTCTCTTACTATTCACAGGGCAGTAAGTCTGTATCTATAACTACTCACAGGGCAGTAAGTCTGTATCTTAATCACACATAACAGTACTAGGCAGTTAAAGTATTCACAGGGCAAAAATCTATATCTTTCTAATATGACAGTATTGGCACTTTTTATTGACAGAACACTATGTCTGGATCTATTTAACAATACGGTATTGGGTCGAATATATCAAAATTAAAATGTATTTGTTTTACAACAATTATGAAACAAGTTCCATTAACTTACATTAATCATTTGTGTTGGCCTGGATGGTAGCGTGCATGGGGTCATCATGTAGGAGGATACAGGATTACCCAGAGAAAACCCACATGGTCGAGCAGGTAGACTGACTCAATACATTTTCACATTCGATCAGGGAATTGAACCCAATGTATTAAAAAGCAATACTTGAAATACAGTTGTACCAGCCAATCTGTATATATATACTTTGTAAGACCTGAACGTTACTACAGCTATGACATGGTAGTTGACATCAGACCAAGAAGATAGACGTTTTTATCATGTATTTCTTATATGTTTTTTACTATCAATGAACTTATAGGTGTGGCACATTTTGAATGCTTGACATTAAAATGTCCAAATATTTCATCTTATGTATTTAGTACTTAGTTATCTTAACTGTCATAAGATATGTGTAATCTCGACACTAATCAATGGCAACTGCAACCTAAATTTCAGATGTTGGGAAATTTTGTTCCAGTTCGTTCAGAAAATTATTTTTGCCAGAGACATTAATTTTAACCTCTATTTAATATACAGGTAGAGGCTCATGAAGCTAAGGAGATGATAAAGGGTGGAAAACTCTGTCGGGTAAAAGTAGAATCATTAGCTATATAGCTGCACTGAGAACATTTTCTATTTCCTTGCTACCTATATACTTTACCCCTAGTACCATGCCTCACTCTAAAACCTGTCAAACTTGTTATACGGCCATATAGGTTCAGTATTTACCTTTGGATAAGAGTGTTTGTGAGGGCAGTGTGAAGACCCTTTTTAACAGCATTAGGCCTATTATCATGAACATTGTCACAAATACACGAGTCATCGTCACAGTTGTGGGTAACCAATGTAATAAGTCTACTGTGTCAGTCCATGTCAATACCCTACGGCACTTAACGTTGAAAGTGGACATGGTAAACACTGCGGTATCGACCTCCACTGAACATGGATGGAAACAGAAAAATCGACATGCAATTTTCATATCAATTAAATTTTCATATCCGCATAGATAACCAGGTTTTCTTAGGCAAACAAAGATTTCTGATAAAACATGTACAATTTATCCCAACTTTTGACCCCCAAGGTTCTGGTCGAAAAAACTTCAATATTGATACAACGCTGTAAACATGACTTTCGCTTTACCAGAACAAGAGGCCCATGGGCCTTAACGGTCACCTGAGTCTATAGTATTTATTTTTGTTGTTGAAATATGTACCAATTTGAGTAAAAAATAGTATAATGTTAACTTAACTTTGTCAGGACCATGAGCTGATCATTCCTAGACCAATTTTAAGTGAGATCGGCCTATTAGAACTTAGTAGCAAAATAGCGGCCATGGCAGCCAAATTGTATTTCTGATTGACCCGAAAAATAACAACACTTTGTCAGGACCATGAGGCGATCATTCCTACCAACTTTCAGTTCAATCGGTCCAGCAGAACTTGACTTTAAGTTTGAAATAGGTTTTCAAAATGGCGGCCGTGGCGGCCATATTGGATTTCTGATCGACCCGAAAAATAACAACACTTTGTCAGGACCATGAGGCGATCATTCCTACCAACTTTCAGTTCAATCGGTCCAGCAGAACTTGACTTTAAGTTTGAAATAGGTTTTCAAAATGGCGGCCGTGGCGGCCATATTGGATTTCTGATCGACCCGAAAAATAACAACACTTTGTCAGGACCATGAGGCGATCATTCCTATCAACTTTCAGTTCAATCGGCCCAGCAGAACTTGACTTTAAGTTTGAAATGTAAAATGTTAACGGACGACGGACGACGGACGACGGACGACGTACGACGGACGACGGACGACGACGGACGAAAACGGATAGCAGTAGGTCACTT